ATATATATATATATTTCCCTTTGAGTTGCATATTCTTTGCCTGTTCTTCTGAAGATGTAATCTATTTTTGGTTAGTTTTTAGAGCAATTTATTTTAAATAATATATTAAATATGTTTCTAAAACAACAAAATGTGTTACAAAAATTCATGATATAAGCTGGGTATGGTGGTCCATGCCTATAATCCCAGCAGTCGGGAGGCTGAAGCAGGAGGATCACTGCAATTTTGAAGTTAGCCTGCACTATACAGTGAGTTCAGAGCCAACCTGAACTACATAGCAAGTTCCTGTCTCCAAAAACAGCTCCCCTCAAGGCTGCGGATGTAGGTCAGTGGCCTGCCTCACAAGCAAAAGGTCCTGAGTTCCATCTGTATACTGCAAACAAAACAAAACAAAATAACCACCCCCAAATTCACGATGTAGAGTCTATAATACAAAACTTATAATTCCACTTGCTGGAAATAACCACTGCTAAAATTCTGACATATATTTCTAAAAGATTCTTATGTAACTTTTCCCCATTGTTTATCAAATATGATAAGTATATGTATATAGCTCTATCTATCTATCCATCTATCTATCTATGTCTGCCAGACTGGCTTTGAACTTGGGATCCTCCTGCCTTAGCCTCCCAAGTAGCTGGGATTATAGACATTAACCACCATGCCCAGTCTATAGATGTATTTTCTAGCTTTTAGTTTACCCTTAATACTTTTGTGTCTGTTTGTTTGTTTGTTTTTTGGGTACCAGAGATCAAACTTGGGACTTTGCAAGGCGGGTGGTGGCACCTCTGAGCTAAATCTCCAGCCCTATTTTTCTCTTATTTTAATAGTGAAAACATGTACATGTTATAATCTAAAATATATAAAACTTTTACAATAGAAAGTAAAATTTGAAAATAATAGGCTGATCTTATAACAGGCAATATATACTTATTGTAAAAAATACTGAACATGAAAGGAAGGCAAAAAATATCTTAAATTTGCCATCTCGAAATAGCATTTTAGCGTATATGCATGTGCAGATTCTGTATATGACTGTGTATATTCTTAACTATTTGCAATAGGGCGTTTTATTGTCATCACCATACTGGAGAACCTGTATTGATTCCATATTGTCATCTATTATGCAGTCTCTTCAGATGTTCCAGCTGCACAGATGTTTTTTTTTCCACTTTGAGGATTGATCCCAGGGTCTTTGTACCAAGCTCTGTCCCAGCCCTTTTCTAAATTTTAATTATGTTTAGACAGGGTCTGGCTAAGTCACTGTGTAGCCCAGGCTGAGCTGGAACTTGTGGCCCTCCCGGCTTCGGCCCCAGAGTCTGGGAATTACTGAGGTGCCCACCAGACCAGGCTCCACTCCTCTGTGCCTCCAGCTGAGATTCCTACACTGCCTTCGGTTGTCCGGTCTCTTACTCTAAAGCAGTCATTTCATCCATGTTTTGTCTTTCATGACATTGACACTTGGGAAGGAGGCGGGGTAGTTGTTCTTACGGAGGGTCCCACATTCTGGAGTTGCCCAGTTCTTTCCTTATGATGAGGTGTAGTTAGCATTTCTGGCAGAAGCGCTGAGTCACAGTTGTGTTCCCATTGCCTCACACTGGGAGGCTCAGAGCATCTTGTTGGTAATAGGCTTGATTCATCACTTGATAACTGTGTCTGCGAGGTCTCTCTGTTCAGTAATCTGTGGGATGATACTGTGCGCTGTTAAGAAGCCACCATTCCCCAAGAAACACGAATTCAGAGGCTCTGGCAGCCACTGTCACAGTGCTGATTATAGAATGGCGATTTTCTTTTTACATTTATTTGCTGGCCTTTTTTGGAGAAGGTACTGTGGGCACTTTTTTGGAAAGAAGAGATTTTTCTTTCTACCTCTGTAGTGTTACTATGATTTCATGGCTTCTTTTAAAAATATTCAGTGTGTTATGATCCATTATTACCAATTTGATTTTGTTTTCTGCTGTCCAGAGTCTTTGTAATAAACTACATCCCCAGCAATTTGTGTGTGTGTGTGTGTGTGTGTGTGTGTGTGTGTGTTTTGAGACAGGGGCTTATACAGTTGCCCGGGCTGGGCTCAAACTTCTGACCCTCCTACTGAAGTAGGAGGGAGTGTGGGGATCACAGGCTTGCATCACCTTGCCGGGTTTGCCATTCATTGTAATGTCCATATTATTTCAAATGTGGGCTGTGGTTGCCCCTTCAAGCTCCCTCCTACACCTTTTGTCCTTATTAGTTTTTGAGTGGTGCCTTGCTTTTTGTCATAAAATATTCTAAGAACACTTTGTGGTTTCCTTTGCCTCAGTCCTAGAACCAGCATTTCCCAGGAAGACTGGTTTCTTCTAGTTGGAAGTGATGTTTAGAGACCAAGACCTGGGCACCGGGGTGCTCGTTATTGCTGAGGCAGCATTGCTTCTAGGTTTCTTTGGTAAAATACATTTTTAAAAAATTTCCAGTTTATACTGATGCTATCCAGTCAAATCCAGTGCCATAAGATTTTTACTTCTTTGATACTTATTTTCATCTCCTGTGTCCTGCACTGAGAATCCTGGTTTCCAACTTGTGTGTGTGTGTGTGTGTGTGTGTGTGTGTGTGTGTGTGTGCTGTTATTTTTTATGATTGCATTCTGGATAGGTTAAAATATATTTATTGTATTCATTCAAGCACAGATGGACTAGTACTGGAATTTGGGCTGTTGAGGATCCAGGGCTGAGCATAGCAAGACAGTTCCTGCTCTCACCCAATGGATATTCCAATGGGAGTTAATCAGATAACCACCCTAATGGTTGTGTGATTATACAGTGAGATAAGTACTTTGAAGAAAAGCAGCTGGTTCTAAACCTGTATAAACAATTATAATTGAACCTGGTGGAGTCAGGCTGAGTAGTGAAGGAGGAAGAGGAGTCAGCTGGAGGGAGAGGGCGGGTAGGAGGGGAGGGTCCATTCAGATGTGGGATTGGCATGGGACCGGAGCAGAGCGGGGGTGCTTGTAGTAACTGAGATGAGGCTGAGGCTAGCCAGAGCATGAAGGAGAACGATGCTGAAAAAGTAGCAGGAAAATTATCACATGCTGTATGCCTGTTATTTTACCTGGTCTTCACAAAAGCCTCATGAGATTGTTGCCATTGTCTCCTTGTTTTATCTCCGAGAAAGTGGGCATAGCAAGCAAAGTGAAGTCATTTGTACAGTTGGGTCCCTGGGGCCTTTGTGCTTCTGCAGGGCTGGGGATGGAGCTCAGGCCTCACTGCTGCTAGCCATGCGCCCTGCCTGGGTCTGCAACCTCAGCCCAGCCTCCATCCTAATAGCCACCAGCTTGCACTTCCTGAGGCGAGGCAATGCAGGGCTGTGTAGACTCTAGAAAAGATTTTGGGAAGTCACTGGGAGGTTGCCAGTAGGGCCATGATGTGATCGAGTTTCTGTTGGGGAATATTTTTCTGTCTTTAGTGGAGAGGAGATTGTCGAGAACCAGAAGGATGTGAAGAAGTTAGGCTGTTATATTTATTCACTCCATGCTTGGAATGTTTCCCAGACTCTGTGATCCTGGCATTGATTCTGTGAACATCCTTCAACATACACTGTATTTCTGCATATTTATTGATTTCGTTGTGGTGATTTTTTTTTTTTTTTTTTTGGTACCGGGGATGAAACTTGGGACCTTATGCTTGTGAGGCATGCAGTGGAACCACTGAGCTAAATCCCCAGCCCTGAAGGGATTCTTAACTGTGAAGGGATGTGGGATTAAGGAGGTTGGTGTCTACAATAGTACTTTTCAGCTAACAACGCAGAGCCCAAGTTTACTCAGATGTTTACTGAGGTGATAGTTGAAGACCCTTGCATGTATGATAAAGGCAGATTAACCAAATGTAGTCATTCTTGAAAATAGAATAGGAAAAATTCTAGTAGAATACCTCGTGCCTGTTGCTTTCTTTCCAGCGACTGAATTACAGATTCTTTATTCACCGTTGTCGTAAACTTCTGATTCTCCGCAGACGAGCACAACATGGTGAAAGTGGTGGAGCTGGTTGACGCTGTGTATGGCCCTTACAGACCCTACCAGCTGAAGTACGGTGGCCTGGAGGAGAGCAACCTTCTCATCCAGATCAGCGCCGTGCCTTTGGTACTGTCACAGCCTCCTGTGTGCTGGGTCCCGGCCAAGCCCGACAGTGTTGGGGGCTGGGATCAAGTGTGCACCCCAAAAAGGAGGGGGCGAACTTTAAACGCCTCCTGGGGTCTTGCAATCCAAATGTGAAACGACACCACAAATACGCTACACATTTTCTACTTCAAATCCCCAGTAAAAATCGAGTCTTCAGTGGTCATGGGGCAAGTTGCCTATCTCTTTGGTTTAGTGATTTCTTATTAGGCGATCTGTTTATGGGAGATGCAGGGATAGACACAGGAGTGCAGCATCCAAGGACTCCGCTCTGTAGGCACCAGGAAAGCCGTTTCATTTTCATGTCATTTAAGGTTTAGCATGAAGTGAGTTGACGTGTAAGAACTGATCTTGCTGTGGCTAAAACCTGCTGCCTCTTAGCATTTTCATGTTTTCTAGGGATGTACCGAGAAAGTCTGTCCCACTTCAGTTACATTCTTGCCCCTAAAAGAAGAGTTTTCTTTCCACTACATTCTTTTTTTCTTTCTTTTTTTTTTGGTACCGGGGATTGAACTCAGGTCCTTGCGCTTGCGAGGCAGGCCACCGAACCGCTGAGCTAAATCCCCAGCCCTCTACTACATTCTTTTAGAGTGAGCGATGTGGGGAATTTGAATCCTACCTCCAGAGCCAGAGGGGAAAGTACCATTTTGCTAATCATGGAAAGAGAGGAAAGAAGTGGCAGATGTAAGGGGGAGGTAGACATCAGTCCATTTCCGTGGTGTTCCTGACCACGTAGACTGTCCTCCCTCAGCTCTGGCTCCAGAAGCACTGTCGCTGCTGGGGACAGAGTTTCCAGTACCCTACTTAGTGGCTTCGCCCCAGACGAGAGGGCTCGGAGGGCCCGTCTCACTGCTGTCTGCCCAGGCTTCCGGGCTCTGACGTGGCTCCTGCTTATGTTCGCCTACCCAGGAGCACGGTGAGGTGATCGACTGTGTGCAGGAGCTGAGCCACTCCGTGAGCAAACTCTTTGGCCTGGCAGCCGCAGCTGTCAACAGATGTGTCGGATTCACCAACGGCCTGGGGACCTGTGGCCTGCTGACAGCCCTGAAGTCGGTCTTTGCCAAGTAAGCCTGGGGGAGCGGGAAGGGCCCCACAGAGAGCCATGTCCCCCAAGTGAGCATGTGTGTGCCGTGTCCTGCTGGGAACCCTGGGAGGCACACTGAGCCCCGGGGGTACTCAGCAGATGTTCCCGCAGCGCACTGTGCAAAAGCGGAACATCTGAAACAACCCAGGTGTCTGTCACTAGGCAACGACTAAAATGTGATAAATTCACAGGGGACCCTGCGTAGCAAGGCATTGACCAGTCTTCACATGTGAACAGGGGTAGATTTCCGAAACATCGTCAGGTGGCAAGAAAGTACATTGCAGTGTAAGATATTATGTGGAAAGAATGTACAAAAACTACAGTATATTTTCTGTAGCAGAGTTCAGCAAACTTATTCTGCAAAGGCCTAGAAAGTAAGTAGTTTATGGGCCTTTGTGGTATCTGTTGCAGTAGAGATGTCTATAGCATAAAAATAGCCATAGACAATGCATAGATAAATGGATGTGATTGTTTCTCATTAAAACGAAAACACCAGGAGTGCTGACTATTGTAGGGTTTTTGTTTTGTTTTGTTTTTTACTTTAAAATGTTAGGGCCAGGAATTTAGCTCAGTGGTTCCCCACCTGCCTCACAAGTACAAGGTCCCGAGTTTGATTCCCGGTACAAAAAAGAAAAAAAAAAAAAAAAAAAAAAAGAACAGATAAGACCCTGTCTTTAAAAAAAAAAGTAATACTTGTGGTCAAACTATAGCTCATAGGTCAAATCTGGCCCGCCATCTGTTTTTTTGTTTTTGTTTTTGTTTTTTTTTCCTGTTACTGGGGATTGAACCCAGGGCCTTCACACTGAGCGACATCCACAGCCTTTTTTTGAGACAAGGTCTCACTAAGTTGCTGAGTTGCCCAGGTTAGGCTCAGACTTGTGATCCCCTTATCGCAGCCTCCTAAAGTTTTGGGTTTACAGGTGGGTACCATCATGTGTGGCTGCCATCTATTTTTATAAAGTTTTATTTGAATACAGTCATGCTCATTCACTTAGCTATGTTCTTTGACTCCTGTCTCATCATGAAGTTAGAGCCGATTTGAAATTCAAGAATATTTACTATCTGGACTTTAATAAAAAAAAATTTGCTGAGCCTTTGGTTAGGCAGTACACTCAACAGTAGTTATCTTTGGAGAGATGGAGAAAGACTGGAATGGTGGTCATAGGAAAATTGTCTTTCTTTGTTTTTGTTTTTTTTTGGTACCGGGGATCAAACTCTGGTCCTTGTGCTTGTGAGGCAGGTGGTGGAACCACTGAACTAAAGCCCCGGCTCTTTCTTTGTTTCTTTTTACAGCCCTGGGGTTGAACCCAGGGACTTATGCGTGCTAGGCAGGCACCCTACCACTAAGCTACACCACCAGCTCCTTTCTTTGTTATTTTTGACTTTTTAAATCAATAAGCATGAATTTGTATTTCTTGTGTTATTAAAATAGGAAGTAAAAATTGACGTTAACATTATGCCAGTTACAGAGGGCCATATGTTACATCTTTCCATCTGCATGAAATGTCCAGAGCAGGTGAATCTGTTGAGGGGAGAGAAAGATTCGTGTTTGCCTGAGGCCAGGGGAATTTAGCGGAGGTGGGGGATGACTGTTAAAGGATCTAAGTTTCTTCTTGGGATGATGAAAATGTTCTAGTTACGATGATGGTTATACAATCTGGGAACACTCTAAAAACTCCTGAGCTGTATTCTTTAAAATGATGCATCATGTGGTGTGTGATTTACAGAATCACCCTGGTTTCCATCCCCAGGGCCAAATGCACACACACACACACACACACACACACACACACACACACACACACACACACACACGTGCATACAGCTACAGGAAGGAAAGCAGAGGAGATGAAGAAGGGCAAAGTTGAAATACATCTTGTAAGGAGGAGGAAGGTGGCCTGAGGCTGGCCTCTGTGACCTGCATAGCTGCGGTGTGAGGGCCTCAGTAGGTTGTGTGCTCTCGTTCCTAGCTCACAGGCAAGTACATTCTTGTGCTCTCCAAGGGGCCCCTCTGGAGTTTGTTCCAAAGTGGAGTTGCTGAGTCTCAAGAGTCTCAAGAGCCCTCGTTTATTGAACTAATGCTGTTTTGCTGTAGGAAGTTTAGGGAGCGCTTGTCATTCCAGAAATACCAGCTGGGCCATGTAACCTACGAGGGCTGTAGTCCCGGAGCTTGTGGGCATTGCCGTGGCCTTCTGACCTGGGGTGCTCAGGACTGGCGGTGGGTGCAGGTGAACTCCAGTGTGTCTCTGGAGAAAGAGAAGCAGCAGCAGCCTAATCAAGTCAAATTTCACCTCTTTTTTCCTGTGCCGTCAACATTTTTTGAAGGAAAGCCATTTTGCTTCTTGGGATCTAGACATTTTATTATAAAACAGCAGAAATAATGCTTGTAGAAATAATCACCTCCCCATGTGAAAAGACACTAAAAAATGTGTCTTTCTTCCTTCCTGTCCACTGTTAGTCTTCTCAAAAGTAACCAGTTTTGAACATTTTGCTAAATTTTAGTTCTTCTGGTTCTTCCCTATAAACTCTTAGAAAGATTTCTGTTTGTTTATCAAGTTTACTGCCTTTCAATTCTCTACCAGGAGAGGTGAGGTCTTGAACTTTTTAAAGTTCCGTATAGGGATTGACCCCAGAGCCTTTGCACTGAACTAGATCCTCAGACCTTTACTTTTTGACTGTGAGTTTCTTCCACTGCTCAGGCTGGGTGGGTTCATGACCCCCTGCCTCCTCCTCTCAGTGTTCTGGGATTGTAGGATGTGCCACCCTCCCTGGCTCTGCGCATTCTCATTCTCGGGGCTCTTCCTTCCTCTGTCTCCTGTTTCTCTGAGCCCTTGTTAGACTTTTACCACTGGTTCTTCTGCCCCTTATTTTGATTACTTTGTTTAAGTGTAATACATAGCCACATTAAAATTCAAACTGTACACTAGGAGATGTGGAGAAATCAGGTCACCTTCTCTTGAAGGGAAGATTTGGAAGTTACCAGAGTACCTCATGCTTATGGAATTAGTCGGGGAAATTAGGTTGAAGCTGACTTGAGCTCAGTGTTGAAGAGGCTGGGGGAAGGCCATCGTGGAAGGCTGGAGCAGTTTGGTCTGACTCGAACTAGGGGGAAGCCATGGAGAAAGCAGCCAAGAGGGTGCTTGGAGAATCCGAGGTTCACAGCTGTGGTGGACAGGAAGGCTCCGGCCCAGGGCCTGGCCCGGTGCTCACTGGTCAGGAGCGGGGCAGGTCACTGCTCCTTCAAGCATCTGGCGATGTCACCTCCTTTCTGTGATGGTTGTGCACGTTAGGTGAAAGCATGTGATGAAAGTTCCTGACAGCAACTCTCCCACGGTGGGCACTTGGAAATGTGTATTTTGAGACAAAACTGGGAGGCTTGAAGACAAAAATAGTGTGATAAAAGCAATGGTTTTATCTGAGATTTCATAAACTGATTTTGAATTCTAGGCTGAAGGGTCATGAAATACCCCACCTGCTCACCCTCCGGCGAGCTCTGTCCTAGGAGCTCCCTAGAGCGTGGACTTGACGGATGGCTCATTCTTCTTGTGCGTACTTGTCCGCAGTTGTTTAACTTTGCGCAGTTAAAGCAAAGTCATGTTCCTTAACGTTCCTTGCCAATCTGTCCTTGGGACTGCCCTCCCTACTTTCCCCTAACAACTGATTTCCTGAGGAAGCTGTCACCTCTCACCTGGGGAAAGGAAAGGTGCCATCAGAATTCTAATTACATGGCTTTCTCTGGCAAAGCCTGTGGCCTTTCTGACGGCACAGCAGTGTGGTCTGCAGCTCCTGGAGGGGTTTGAGGAAGCTTCTTCCCTTTGAATGGACTTTCTCTCCACTGCACACACCTTTTAGGTCCTGGGTCATCATGTTCTACTTTCCCCTCCTAGAGCTTTTGGCATAGGAGGGGAGAGAAGTAAAGCTTCTCCTTACACTCTCAAATGTCACAGGTTTCCTCGGCTTCCTGAGGACTTGGTGCCCCTCCATCTTCCACACCACACTCTCCCAAGGGAGTGCACTGATTTGCCCACGTTCCAAGAGGTTTTCAGTCATGTAATTTTATCACCCCAACAACTTTATGATGTCATACAGAAGACATCATTAATCCACTGTAAAAATGAGGAAACTGAGGGGCAGAGAAAGTGAAGCCCTTGCCCGGGGCTGCACTGCAAGCCTGTCATCTGCTTGGATGTGTGTGCTTGTCCCTGGGGATGCAGCAGGAAGCTACCGTGGAGCAGGCCTTGTTCTCACAGAGCCCCCAGTCTGCAGCAGCTGCGCACATTAAACAAACACGCAGCAAATAAGCGATTGAAGCACAGTGTGGCAGGTGCGATGGGAGAAAATATCTGTGGACGGCAAGAGCAGATAGCAGCCTGTGTGAGGGTCCCTGGTGTGCTCTTTGCTTCCCTTCCCTGTCTCTGAGCCGCCCTTACGTACCATGGGTAAAATTCGGGGAGTTGGTTTGTGGAAGTACCCTGGATATCAGTAAACTGTCTTACGGTGTCCCAGGTCACAGTCCTCTGTTACAGGAGGACCGTGTGTGTTTTAAAACAGGTCTTCAGAACTGCTTTCCAAGATAGGCATTTGTTGGAATCGGGGAGTAATTTACCTGCCCTGTGTCTCGCCCGGTGGTCCCCGCGGTTGTCCTCGTGACGGTCCCTTTCTGCTGTGTCTTGAGCATCTCTTCAAGCCATTCTGCAGGTGACCAAGACGGTCTTGCCTCATAAAGGAGGCATTTTAGGGGCCAGAGATTTACAAGGGGTCTCACCCCATGGCTGGAGCCTCTGCAAACGTTCTCCAAGTCATTAGTAACTTGTCCCAAGCTGTCAATTCCCGGTGTCTAGGATGGAGGGATTTACGTGACCCTCCTGTACTATGGTCCCTCTCCCCCAGGTATGTGTCTGATTTCACCAACACTCTCCAGTCAATACGGAAGAAGTGCAAACTGGATGACATTCCTTCCAGCTCCATTTTCCAGGAAGACTGGACGGCTTTTCAGAACTCCATCAGGTAACGTGGGTGTGCAGATTCAGCATGTGCCTAGTGTTGTGAGCATGATGGAAAGAGTATATTCATTTACAAGCTATTCACTTTTCTCCTTCACTGCCTTTAAAAATGCTAACCTTCTAGACCCTGAAAACAAGCCAAGAAACAAACAAACAAAAAAAATCAACCCACCATCAGTAATAGCAAAACACCAGAAAAGCCCCTCTCCTCGTAAAGTTTTTTTTTTGTTTTTTTTTTTCAGCTTTAATTGAGTTTATTGGTACATTTTAGGGATACAGTACAGTTACATTCATTGTTGGGATCTTGTACCTCTACATGACAAGTCTTGATTCTCATTTTTTTAAAAGTTCTTTATCAATACCTCATCTCCATTAATGCCTTACAATGTTTATATTCACTGTGAGGCTGGCGTGTGTTCTATTCATGCTGCGGTTCTCTGCCTCCCAGTGGCCTATCAACTATGCTACTAGTTGGGATAAAAAGAAATCTAGAAATGTCTTTAAATCGCTCTTAGGGATGTGCGTTCTGAAGAGTCAGCTGCTCTTCACCTGGCCCATGTCACCACTTCGATTTCCTGCCTGGCCCTGGCCCCTGTGCCTGTGACACTGACAGCTCTCAGTGCGGTGACCCGGGCTGCTGGGGCAGAGCCAGCACTGCCTGGGACTGTTTGGATCACTGCCTCATGACTCTGTTCTGGCTTTTTATATTTTAATGAGATTGAATGCTCTTGCTGCTAACCACATCCTCTGTCATCTGCAGTGACCTGGCCTAGCAGGAAATATTCTGCACAAGTTTGTCGTGTTGCTTCAGAGCGAGTGGAATATTTTACTTTCTCATAAACCTTTCTTATGATGGAATGCCTAGATACCCTGGTGATGATAGGCATTTTCAAAGAAAGTTAAAAGTTAACTAGGCTTAAGATATTAATCCTTGGATTTGTCCTGACATTATGAGTTTGGTGTTGAAGGACTTAGTAGCCGGTGTTTGACTCCTGGCATAAAATTACCTGGAAATGAAAGAATTATTAAATGCAGGCATGATGATCATTCAGGCTTTTCTCTGAGAAACAAATGGATTAATCCTTACCTCCCTTTCCTGTGATCAGAGGGAGAGATGCACTTCTAGTATCAAAGAGGTTTTTTATGCCTGACAAGTTGTCATCTACCAAATATTAAATAATAAGTGTTGATTTTAACGTTTAGATACCAAATATTTCCAACTCATTCCCTCTAAGATAAAACTCTCTGTTTTGGAAAAGCAAATTTATTTGTGGTGGCGAAGGATAGAACTGTGATTCATAGCAGGGATGCTAGGGGCATGGAAAATATTGGAAGGGGATCTTTTCTATTAATTACCAGTTAGTAAAACATTTCATCTGGGCCAGCAAATGGTCAATAACTTTCCCAGAACCCAGCATCAACAAAAGGAGCAAATAGTTAGAATTTTTATGAGTAAGACAGTGTTTGTCCTGTAAATGTTGGCATTCCAGGTACTTGAACTTGAAGTGCTTTCTGTTTTGTTTAGGATCATAGCCACCTGTGGAGAGCTCTTGAGGCAGTGTGGAGACTTTGAGCAGCAGCTAGCAAACAGGTAGGAGTCGAGTTTGGTGTCCTCCAGTCCAGGGCACTCGGTTGGGAGGAACATGACTCAGTAGTCACAACGGCAAGGGCAGCAGATGGTCAGATCTGAAAGCCTCAGGCTCAAGGACTGTCTGTCCCTGGCTACAAGGTGTCAATATTGTCACATCAAACATTTACTGAGAGTCCAAGAAGGGCACAGCTCTGTCCTACTTGGCAGTGGCCGTGTGATTTGCGTTGGGGATGGAGGTCTCAGCAAAAGGGAAGAAATGAACATGTTGTTCCACATGATGAATGGGCTGAGCTCCTGCTGATGGTCTGTGCATGGGCTCTTGGACGGAACACGGTCCACACAGAAGTGGCGCTGCAGTATTGCCTGTCCCACAGCATCGGGATTAACCCTGACTGCCCACCTGCCTGGTCCTGCAGCAGAATCCTGTGCTGTTGAGTGGTGTGTGTCAAAGAAGTCTTGGACTGCTCTAGGAAAAGTTTGCTCTAGCCCCCTTCTCTGACACTGCTAGGTTCTTATGTTGCCTTGACTTGACCCTGTTTGGGCAAATTTTCCCCTCAGAGTACTCCGACTTCCTAAATTTCCTTCTTTCTTTTAACTAAATCCTCCATTCCCTTAGTACAGCTGTCTCTATTCCTTAGGAATCGAGGAACTGGCAGTGGTCTTTTTTTATTGTTGTTGTGGTACCTGAGTTGAACCCAGGGCTTTTGCATTGAATTACATCCCCAGTCCTTTAAAAAATTTTTTTTTATTTAAAAAATTAGAGCCAGAACAGAGGCAGGGCAGGAGGCATCACAATCCCTGACTTGAAATTAAGCTACAAAGCTACTGTGATAAAAACAGCATGATACTGGTTAAAAACAAAAAAACAACAAACAAACAAAAAAACAGAACCAAGGATCAATGGAATAGATTAGAAGATACCAAAATAACTCTAAACACTTAGCTGCCTTATCATAGACAAAGGAACCAAATACCCTCACTAGCCTCTTTAATGAATGGTGCTGGAAAAACTGGCTTTCCATGTGCTGAAGATTAAAACTAGACCCATATCTTTCACTATGCACTAAACTAAAATAGAAATGGATCAAAGATCTAAATATTAAACCATAAATCTGCTAGAAGAGAGAATAGGTAGAATTCTTGAAGACATTGGTGTAGGCAAAGACTTTATGAACACAGGAAATATCACAAAGAATAAAGAACTGGGATCTCATCTTATTAAAAAGCTTTTGCACAGCAAAAGAAACTACTAACAGAATTTTTTTCCACACTGGGGAAAAAAAATTTTTACCAGCTATTCCTCAGACAAAGGACTAATAACTAGAATATTATAAAAAGAACTAAAAAAATCAGACCCCCGCAAATTTAAAGACCCAATCAAAAAATGGGCATCAGAAATGAAGAGATACTTCTCAGTTGAAGAAGTGGAAATGGCAAAAAAATATGTGAAAAAATGTTCAACATCACTGGTTATTCAAGAGATGCAGATGAAAACAACACTGAGATTCCACCTCACCCCAGAAAGAATGGCTCCTATCAAGAAATCAGCCAATAATGTGCTGGCGGGGCTATGGGAGAGAAAGGAACCCTTCTCCACTGTTGGTGGAAGTGCAGACTGGTGCAACCACTGTGGAAATCAGGGTGGAGATTCCTCAAAAAAAAGTAGGACTAGAGGTCCCAGTTGACCCAGCTATTTCCCTTCTTGGTGTCTTCTGAAAGAATTAAAAGCATCCTACCACAGTGATATATGCACACCCATGTTCACAGTGGCACAGTTTGTAATGGTTAAATCCTGGAAGCAGCCCAAATGCCCGTCAACCGATGAATGGATAAAGATGTGATTTTTTTATACAATGGAGTACTGCGCTGCCATAAAAAAGGATAAGCTTGGGCTGGGGATTTAGCTCAGTGGTGCCACTGCCACCTGCTTCACAAGTGTAAGGTCCTGAGTTCAATTCCTGGTATCTCCGCCCAAAAAAACAAGGATAAGCTTGAGACATTTCTAGCTAAATGGATGCACGTTGAGATCTGACTCTAAGTGAAATAAATCACACACACACTAAGTACTGCATTGTTTCTCTGGTGTGAGAAACTGAGAGTTTAAATAAGGACCAAAATGTATATTAGACACTGGGAAATGGAAAGAAAATGTTCAAATGAGAAGGTGAACAATGGATGGGGAAAGGAAGGAAGAGACAAGGGAAAAAAGGTAATAGGAACAAAATGAAAACAAAGCTTTTGTAGGGAAGGGTAGAGGGATTGAAGGCAGAGGAGGGAAATGGGAAAAAAAGAAGGGAGGTATATCACGTACATGTACAAATTTCCTATGATGAATGTTACCATTATGTATATCTAAAATGTACCAATAGAATAATTTTTAAAATGTTAGAGCCAGGATCTCACCATGTTGCTAAATTGCCTAGGCTGAGCTCAAACTTACGATCCCAGCATCCGAGGCGTGTGCCGCCATGCCTCTTGTGGCAGCGGTCCTTGCTGTGGGATGAGTGTTTGTCCTAAAGTAATCTCTGCATGATAGCATTTTTTTTTTTTTTTTCCCGGTACTGGGGATTGAACTCGTGTTCTTGTCCTTTTGAGGCAGGCGGCCTGATGGCAGTTTTTAGTGGCAGTGAAATCAAAGCTGAGGCTCCCTGGGAACAGGGCTCGGGGCAGGCTCTGCTGAGGAGGGGCCAGGCTGGCTCAGAGCCCACACTCTCTGTTGGCTGTGTCAGGACCAAGCTGTTTGCCTTCCTTCATTCCTAACACATGGGCTATGTTTTAATAAAAGTCTGATATTTTTTCTTCTTTTTTTAAATTAAAAATGTTCTTTGTGTGTGGTACTGGGAGTCAAACTCAGGACATTGCACTGCCAGTCAGGCGCAGCACCACTGAGGTAAATCCCCCACCCCAATTTTTCATTATCTTCATGGACCAAGTCTCCCAGCAGGGTAGAGTGGGAACAGCTGTCACTTTTCATAACTCCCAAACAGCCCAGCACAGAAATCAGGTGGCTTCCTGGAGTGACTAAAACCAAAGCAGCATGGGCAGATGGTGGATTGTATGCAAGTAATATAAACAGAGTCACCACCACTCCCAGATGCGCGTGCACACACACACACAGACACACACACACGGTGAGAAGAACCGCTGTAAGGGGGAACTCCTGGGAAGGGGTAAAACAGCAGCATTTACAAAGTTAAAAGAAGCCCATGTAGCATGCATGTTATTTTCATAGCAGTAGCAGTTGCTCATGTAAAAATGAAAATAATTCACAAGTCTTCAAAATAAAAACTCAGAATCTATGCACCCTAAAAAAATCCTTCTCCCCCAGAAAAAATATTGTCAACAGTCTCCCCACTTCCCACTTTTTAATTTATTTATTAATTAGATTGAATCTAGACTCTGCGCAAGCCACCCCCCCACACACTTATATTTTACAGCAGGGTCTTGCTGAGTTGCTAAATTGCCCAGGCTCCCAAAGTGCTGAGATCACAGGCATGGACCCTGCACCTGCCCCTTCCCCTCTGTGTGACAATGACTTGAGCTCTGGCCTTAAGGACTTTGTGGGAACTGACCGCTGAATCCTCTAGGGGCTGAGAGGCAGGTGTTCTCCTATCTCCGTGTTTAGAAATAAAGGGATATTGAGGGAGACTTTGATGTAGGTAAGTTTTTTTTAGGTTGATAAATTGTTTGCAGAAATAACTGTGAGGCGTTGACTGGAAGCTTGGTATGTATGACCTGAGTCCCCCAAGACTGAGTTTTTATCAGACGTCTGCTCTTATCAGGACACGCAGATTTTCCTTAATTTCTTTTTACCTCCAGAGGTTAAGAACAGATCTGGTTAGGAAGGTGAATGGGGTGGCGATGGGTAAAGAAGCCTCTCTAACTGCACTTTGCAGTCCGGAGAAGGCCAGGCCCACTTGGCGGGAGACAGGAGCAGACAGTGTGTGTCCAAGACAGCCACTGGGGTGATGTGGCCAGAGCTCTGTGAGAGGGATCTAGAGAGGGATGGCCGCCACCGCCACTGCCACTGGTGTCCATCAGGCCGGACTCGTCTCTGTCAGCCTCACGTGCAGGCTCAGGCTCTAGGCCACCCCACCAGCGGCTGCCTAGACTGCTCCAGGCTGCAGCGGTGGGGGACTGTGCCGGGTGTTGGGCTCCTGAGGTCACCTCTTTGAGGAAGGGGTCCATCTCGTGATGTATGGGCCGAGTGAAGCGGGGCGAGTTTGGGTATCATCTGAGAGCTCTGTCTCAGGCAGCTTGGGCGAGACGGGGCAGATTGCCTGGCCTCTGTATGCTGTGGTGCCCGCTGCTTAGCATTTGGAACCCTCTGGTATAAGCAGTCCTGACTTCTTAGGGTTCTGCTCGCAGGCTTTCAGCTTTATGGTGGTGCAGATGGGATGCACGTTCAGGAGAAGCCATCCTTTGAGTTTGGAGACTTGTATCTTTTCTGGGCTCCTGATTTCTGGGTTCCAGTCTACTCTGCACATAGCTCCACAGCTCCCGGTCAGTCTGCAAACCCCAGTGCTCTGCCATGTGTTGCGCTGCTGAGCTAGGCTGTCAGTAGGTTGGGTGTGTCGAATGCCTCCCAAACATAATGATATTTTCAGCCTATGAGGCCTTTGTTGTTGTAAATCAAGGAGCATCTCTTATGGGAAAGGATCTGAGTAGGACAGCTCACATAGACAGAACCCAGTATTAATATGCACGTTCCCATGGCCGAGGCGTGGGGAATAACTTGTCCTGACACAAGTTGAGGACACAGGTGGAATGGTGGCATCGTCCTCCATGCACGTGGCCCTCATTCTCCTGGCGCAGGGAGCTGCACATTGGTGCACACTGGACTCGCCCACTAATCTGAGCTTCATGAGGGCGAGCACTGTGATATCCATGTGTTAGTCCTGTCCTGACCCAGGCCTTTCATGGTGATAAGAAAGCATTTCGTGGAAAGAAACCAGTGCTCGTGAGGTTTAATTCATAAGCCTAGCCAGTACTTGTGGTAGGAGACCGGATACTAAGGACCCGGCCACCTGGTGAGGTCTGAATGAAAAGGAAGCTAGGAAGAGATGCCATTCGTTTTGGGGTTGGAGTTGTATTTATTTAATTACAGTATCCGGTGGGGATCAAACTTGGGACCTTGCACTTGCGAGGCAGGCGGTGGAACCACTGAGCTAAATCCAAGGTCCACAGTGTCTACCGACATACCTAGCTTTCTTCAGCTTGGATGGCAGGATGATGGCGGGGGTTCCCCTGAGCTGCCTGAGACGGAAGCACAGGTTGCAGGGACCCAAAGGAGAGCTGACTCCTCAGAGGGCAGTGATTAGGCTGTCCCTGCTCTCTGGTCACTAGGCGTGGGTTCATTGTCATCCAGAAAACTCCCGGAGTGCCTGCCCTGTGCCAGGGCCAGCTGGGTGCTAGGAGCTCCGAAGTGCTGGAGGCAAGCAGGGTTCTGACCTCGGGACCTCGGAATGATGACTGTGATGTGCGCAGCAGAGGCAGGGGCTGACTGGAGCCAGGCCAGGGAAGGAGCGGTGGAGAGGCGGAGAGCAGGAGGGGGCCTTTCAGCGAAGGGAGCGCACGGCTGCCCTGTGGAGATTCCTGAGTGAGGGGTGAGGGGCAAGGCCAGTGGCAGCTGGAGGAGTTGGGAAGTTGGTCAGCATCTGGGGACTCTGCGATGGAGGGGCCTGTGTGCTGCGCCTGCATGTTTTCAGACTTCTCCTGGATGACGGGTGTCTTTGGCCAAATCAGACTTGCCTTTTGGAAAGAGCGCTCTTCTAATCCTTTGAAAGACTGCTTTAGTGGAGTAGGGGAGGGTGAGGGAGAAGAGGCAACTGGAAGACTCTGAAGGGAAGTAGGGAAGGTTGGTGGCAGGGACAGGCCACAGCTCGACAGACAAAAGAGCCAGCAAGCTTAGGCAGTAGGATGATGCCTGGCAGAGGTGGGTAGGTGCTTGTAGCAGCAGTAGTTTCTGAGGGAGTTTGTGTCCCCCAGGTCTATTTGCAAGTTCAGGCATTCTTAGAAAAGGGAGTGCTGCCTGGAAACCCCTGCGCCCAAGGCAGTTTTGTTCCTGAGAAATTTCATGAAGGAGGGTCAGGGAATGGGCCACATTTGGGATTTGTTTCAGTGCCTCTCCTCTTCCTGTAATTCTGTGCACATTTAAGTGTGGTGGCTGAATGGTAAAAGGGTGTTCGGGAGAAAAGAATGCAGGGTTTTCTGCATGGGGAACAGTCATCCTTGTTGAAAGTGGAGACTCAACTTCTCCAGACAGTAACGTGATTAGCAGAGAACCTCTACTCTGTGCTTTTCTTTCTTGAAGAAACCGAGAAGCACAGCCTCTCTCAGTAGATCTCTCTGTAGCTTCCTTGCAGCACCACACAGCCCAGCGTGTGGGCAGGGATGTCCCATGGGTAGAGGCACCCGGTGAACCGCCAGCCCGCACCATGCCCAGTATCTTTGTGACTGCCCTGCTATCTGACTGCCTGCCACATGGTGATGCTCCTATGACCAGAAAGTCTCCACGGATGGTGCATAGTACTCCGGGTCGTCATAAATGGAGAGCTGCCCTGGTCTAGGCTGGCTGTCATATTAGTAAGAGAGCACCTTCCGGGGCATGAGTACAAATAAGAAATAAAAACACCTGGTTTTCATTGCACCCCCGAGGTCTAGCTCCTCTTGAATGACGGAGGAGGAGTGGGACCTTAATTCAATCTGCCTCGTGAGGCTGTCCTGTGAGCGAGTAAGGAGAAATGGGGTTGCTTAGGAAGAAGGCAAACACCTCGGGGTGACGGTCATCACTTTCCTTACAGGATTTTGTCCACAGCCGGAAGGTATCTCTCTGACTCCTACAGCCCTCGGAGCCTGGCTGGCTTTCAGGAGAGCATCTTGACAGACAAGAAGAGCACTGCCAAGAACCCTTGGCAGGAGTATAATTACCTCCAGAAAGATAACCCTGCCGAATATGCCAGTTTAATGGAAATACTATATACCCTCAAGGTATGACAGCAGACACATGGCATTCTTGCAAATGAAAGCTTTTTCTTTGTCACCCTCTCCAGGTTCCAAGTCTTCTTCTGGCTCTGTGTGGGCCCTGGGCTAGGGTGTGCCCTGCTGCCCGTGGCTTCTCCTATTTCTGCTGGGATTTTAAGACACTAATAAACTAAACCCGTTGAGACGAAGCTGGAGGAGTTGGGTAGATGGATCTTTATTCTGATAAAGCCAGGTTAGAGAATGTGGCTTTTTCCCGTAGCCAGAGGGACCTGCTGTGCCTCAGTCCACAGCTAGATTTGCTCAGAGGATAGGTGAGCTGGGAGCCCTTCGCCCCTGTGCAGCAGGGATCCCCTCTTACTTCACAGCAGACAGGGCACCAGTTTGATTCGGCTTGCAGGCAGGCCAGACCCTAGAAGAGGGCTCAGCCTCAGTCTCAGCTCAGGAGAAGTCACCCCTTCCCTCAGGGAGGGTGGAGAGGCAGTGCAGGCTCCCCCGCAGGGAAATGTGCAGACTTGGGGAAAATTGTCTCCTCTTTTTTTCTTTAAAGTCTGTTTGTTGCCCATAAAGCTGCCTTTGACTTTGAACTTTGAGGCCTTTGAGGTCCAGGCCCAGAGAACTTCACAAGCAATGGAGTGAGTCACCCCGCTCCCTGGGAATGGCCCCCAGGGTGGTAAGAGGGCCCCAGGCATCTGTTTAGAGCCCTTCCCTCCTCCCTAGGTGGGTTTCACCCTGGCTCTTTTGGAGGAGATGTGGCTGAGTCTGCGGCTCTGACCAGCCTGGAGCTCTTCTGGTGAGCTGCACCGTGAGCCTGAACATACCTGAGGCTCCGGTTGCCCTCCCGCGGTCTCCAGCTCTCTGCCTCTTGGCCTGCCAAATGGCTGCATTTGATCTCCACCAAGGCATTTCTTAAAGCAATTCTGTAAACTCATTCATCCATGCTTCTGAGATTAAGTTAAAGCAACTCTGTTTATCTTTATTGCTAATCTGATTTATGTCTGTTGTAATCGGTTCATTTATTATAGCGAAACTAACGTTACATTTTCCATCTCTGTGTTTTCTCAGGCTGTTGGTCCTAAGGACTCACACAGGCTGTACATACTCTGGCTCTTTGCCAAGTACAGTGACCTGACTTCCCTGGGAATCAGGGCTCTGTCCATTACTCTTGTTTTTCCTGTGAAGCTTCTGATCTGTTTTCCCTCCTCATCTATCCTTGAGAAATAGTCACAGGTTAAATTTTCCTAAACTGCCAGACCACGAGCTCATGTTAGCCCAAATGCACCAGAATCACCCAGGAAATTGAATTAAAAATACAGTTTCTTGGGGCTGTAGCTCAGTGGTAGGGTGTTGCCTCCCGTGTGTGAGGCCCTGCGTTGCATCCCCAGCATGGTTAAAAAAAGGGGGCACCTGTGTGTGCGCGTGTGTGCGTGCGTGTGTGCGTGTAAACGTTCCAGGGCGCCAGATCCGGTGGACTGTGATTCAGTGTTGGATGGAGCTTGCGAGTCTGTCGTTGAGCTTGCTTCCCAGTGGCCTCACCACAGCCTGCCTTTGGAAGCACTGTGACATGGAATCCCCTTCACCGTTTACCCCTCAGTGATTTTGCAGTGCATTTAGCTTGGGAAACTTAGATTCGGGGCCTGACAACTTGCCTTTTGCATTTTTTTGTCTCAGGAGAAAGGGTCCAGTAACCACAACCTGCTGGCTGCTTCCCGGGCTGCCCTGACTCGCCTGAACCAGCAGGCTCACCAACTGGCTTTCGACTCTGTTTTCCTGCGCATCAAGCAGCAGCTGCTACTCGTTTCCAAGATGGACGTGAGTTTCCCGCCCCGCTGCAAGGGTTCTTTCCCCTGCCCCCATCCCGCCTATTCTCAGGCCTCTCTAAGCACCCTCACCTTGGCCCTCCCCGCCCCTCGAACTGTCCTCGTGTCACTTCAGCTCCTAGCTTAGCGCGACTCTCTTCTGTCCCTTGTAGCTCTGTGGGTGCTTTATTTCCAGGCTGTGTCCTAGGATCATTAATGTCACCTGGTGGCCGGTTCTCGCTTGGAGAGCATAGCTAGCGTCCTCCGGGAGAAGCAAGTGAGACTGCTGTGTAGGATAGCTTAGAAGAGCGCGTTGTCTTTTGAGGTTGACTTGCTTTCATGCCACAGGAAACATTCCCAGAGAATTGGTTCTGGAGCTTTTATTCAGGAGAGCAGCATATGCGGTTTGAATCTTTTTTTGAGGGGGCATTTGAGTGGGTTTTGCTACTCTCCTCCCTGCCTTGCTATTCAGCTGTTCTAGAGTCCTCTCACTGCCTTACTTTGTGCCCCTTCTCTTTTCTGTCTGTCCTGACACCCAGTTAGGCATCGCGTAGCAGTCAGATGTTCTCCACTTGCTGTCTTCCTAGTGTCTTCACTTTGGGTTACGGGTTGGGACAGCTCCCGCTTAGCTGTGTTACCAGCTCCTCTAGTCCACTGGGATTCCATTCCTTTGGAAGTCAGTCTTTTGGAAAGGATCCAGCTATGGACCTTCAATACCTAAGAGATCCTCTTCAGAAGCAACAAGAACTTGAGTGGCATAATCACAGGGTCTTTGCTTTTCTGCTGCCTTCTGGAAAGTATGGCCAGCCAGAGACCAGGCCACTCTGCTTTTGGTTAAATCTCATTTTCTCCTGGGCCTCAGACTCTCCACCCATAAAATGACTCCATTTCACTACATAAGTTCGAGGTTCCTTCTGACTCTGACATTTTGTGATTGTGACTCTAGTGTGGAGAGGGAGGGAAGAGAGGAGGAGGCTGCAGCGGAGCTGAGGCAGGGGCCGAGCGGTCGGTTCTTGGGCACAACCCCTGCGTGGTCCTGTCGCATGCAAGATGGAAGTTACCCGTGCTTCTGGGAACCTCTGCTCCCGCGTCTTTCTCTCCTCCTATAGATCCGAGAGGATTAAAGGAGATTTTATGTGTGATAACATTTCGCGCAGCACCAGCCGCAGAGTGGATGCTTCATAAGTGATGGTTTTCTTCCTTTCTGTGATTCTGGACAGAAGGAATGGCAGCTATACATATTCATCTTCAGGAACTGAAGCAGTACTGGAAAGTATAAAGAAAACAATTCAGGGCCGGGGATTTAGCTCTGGTCCTGATGCCTGCCTTGTAAGCACAGGACTCAAGTTCAATCCCTGATACCAAAAAAAATACCCAAAAAAAAAAAAAAAAAAAAAAAAAAAAAAAAAAAAATTAACAAATCTTTTCAAAATGGCACCATTCAGAAATAATCACTGTAAACATTTGGTGCTCAGCAATCAGGACTTCATGCCCACTCATGCATGCTCTGAAAATTGATAGATTCACTGGAAAAATGGAGTTATATTACACATGTTACTTTTAAAAAAGCAAATTGTGGGGCCTGGGATGTAGCTTAGTGGTGCCGTGCCTGCCTTGCAAGTACAAGGTCCTGAATTCGATCCCCGGTACCAAAAACAAAACAAAACAAAACAAAATAAAAAAGCAAATTATATGCAATATAAATTTTTCAACTAGGAAAGAGAAATTTTCCAGTGGGATTGTTGGGCTGGAAATCATTGTTTCTGTATCACCAAAGATATTAGCTGCCAGAAGATTTGCTGCAAGATTAAGGAAAATAAAGATTATAGAATCATTGGCTTTCTGTTAATTATATTTTCATTTTAGGCAAATATCAATATCAACTCACTTGTTTTGATGAACAAAGAAATTTGTATTCTTTATATCTATCATCTCCCCTCCCTACCTCTGGATTCATTGGCTCTTATTATTTTTATTTTGTTAAAGGTTAGCATACCGGCCTTCCATTCTGAAACCTTCGTTTGCCAGGTTATTTGGTCGAGTGCTACGTGGAAACAGGTTTAGTGCTTCCCACCTGCCCTTTACCTCTACTTGTGCATTCCGGAGTTGGTTCAGGTTCAGGATGGACTCTTGGGCTCTCGCTTCCCCTGCCAGGCTTTCCCACAACCCTGCGGTGGCCGGGAACACACGTGGTCAGTTTGGAGCTCAGAGGGAGTCCCCTGGGAGCCAGCCCCTGCCACACAACACCAAGGCAAACACTCGGCCCTGAGGATTTGGAAACTGAACCCTGGTCAATAGATGCGTGTTGTCAACATTCGCTGGCAAATTGTATTGTACTTTTATATTGTAAGACTATAAACCAACACCACCTTCAATTTCAGAATAGATTGTTGACATTTACCTGTATTATCTGGTGACAGATGGATGGAAGAGCCCATTTGAAAGATATTTACAGTAAACCTTGAACAATTAAAAATAAGCTACATCATTTCCCCATTGTCCTGTTCAAGTGCACTTTTCTTGCTTACTTTTAAGCCTTTCCTTAATCCAGGGCACTCTGTCTGGCCCTTTTTCGGAACTTCTTTTCTACGCTGCTCTTTCCTGGTCTCCTGCGCCCCTCCTGCACCCCTCCTGCGCTCCTCCTGCGCTCCTCCTGCCTCCTCTCCGAAGCCCGCGGCCTTGTCTCTGGGGTGAGTGGCGGTGACACCGGTCTTCGCCCTGACATCGGCATCGGCCCTTGGTCCTGTCCTTCCGTGTGCGTCACCGTGGGTCTCTCAGGAGCCGACGCTCCCTGCCTGCCTCTGCCACTGCGTCCTTCCTGGCCATGCCCGTCTCTGCCTGGGAACCACGTTATCACTGTCCTTTTCTCTGTATCCACCACCTGTTTTCACAGCCAGGGCCTCGTGCGGGTTCTCTATGACCATCGGCCTTAGCAGTGCTGCTTGCCTCAGGCGTCTTCCCAGAGCCTCGATCTGATGTGTTTTCTCCGTCAGAACTACACTCCCCGGGACCAATCTTAGTCTCTTTTTAAAACTTTTTACTGTGGGAACTTTCACACATATCCTGAAGGAAGGAGAGAGTGTAAGGGATGCCATATACTTCCATCCTGGCCGGGCTGTTCCATGTATACCCTCTTGTAAAGTATCAGGACTCTAAGAATGCTTACCATACATAACCGCCCCTAAAAAAGAGGAAAAGTAGCCTCTTAAGATCTTCCGTTAGTGTTCAGATCCCCGGTTGTCTGATCCACGGGATCCCAGATGCTGCACAGTGAGGCTGACTGATGTGTCTTTTGTGTCTCTGACTTGTAGGTTTCCCTTCGCTTCTCCTGTCTCTGTCTCTTTCTGTATCTCTGTCTCTTTGCCTGAAAATTTATTTGTTAATGGTAAAACCTTTCCCTCCCAGGGTGTTTAAAACCATGTCCTCCTTCCACCTTCGTTTCTACCTTTGTGTGCCACATGCGTCCTGTGGCCAAATCCTTCCTCACACTGAGCATTTGCTCCCCTGAAGTATATAAAACCTTGCACAGTGGCACCGTGCCTGTCTCGCAAGTGCAAGGTCCTGAGTTCAATCCCCAATACCGAAAAAAACAAAAACAAAAAAAGGACAGGATAGGAGCGGGGAGGACAGGCTGGGGTGGGAGGTGGGCGGATTAGCAGTGTCCCACATCTTGCTTCCCAGTAGCTTCTGACACAAGGCCCAGTCCTGCCTGCCTTTGTGTCTTCTGCGCAGAGCTGGTCACAAGATGCCATTCATCGTGGGTGCTTGGTAAGCGTAGATAGTTGGAGAGCTCCTTCTCGGTGAATAGGGGTTCGGTAGAAAACAATACAAGATATTTTGAAGGGAAAGCAAGAACAAGGAGTCTAGAAAACTAAAGTGCAGGGAGAGATCTCCTCTTCAGCGAAGGGAGTGAGACTGCATGGAGTGGGCTCCTGTGGGGAGGCTGAGTCCGGGCCGCAGCCTGGGTGGGTGTGGCCATTCCCTTCCCGGAATGCTACCTAAAAGCTTAAGCAAGCGGATCGGGCATCAGGTGGCTGAGGAGAACAGCTCTGGTGTGACCTCGGGGGTCACTCCCAGAGGCAGCCAGGAAGGGCCTTATGTTCCTGGCCAGCTTTAGGGCAGCCTGGGTTGGAACTGAGAAGCAAGGTGTCTGTGCGAGAGCTAAAGTTGGAAGCACCTAGGTCCTGCAGATTTGCCTACTCACCGGGTACTGGAGGCCACACAGTGGCACAAGAGACGTTTCCACTTTCACTGGCAGGAGCTGTATGCTGGTACCAAAGTCCTTCCTGACAGAGGGCACAGTGTGAACAGAGGGCAGCCCTTGGGGTCTGCTTTCCCTCCTTGTCCCTCTGAGTTCCCAGTCAGTCAGGAAATAGAGCCCAAAAGTGGACAGAAATAAAGCAGTCACTTTACCCTGAGGCAGAGTATCTCGGTGGCTGAGGTTAGACTGTTCTGCTACAGAGGGGTTTCCTGAGCTTCTTCCCATGATCAGGGGCTTCCACATGGACCGAGGAGAGGCGCCCGGGGCCCTGTCCTCCTCAGAGCCCCGAAGGCCAAGGTTAGCACATCTCCCCGCACCCAGCAGCATTCTCTGTAGTGACGGGTGACCCTCACCATGCAGAAGCTCTCGGGCTGGAGGGTGTCTGACCCTCTTCGCATTCTCCGTGAGATTGAGGGAAGGGATCGGTGTCACTGGCTGAGCAGGTGGGTGTGCTTATGCCGTGGGCCTGCGGGATTGCAGAGAGAGACACTCAGACAGACAGGCTCATGGACTGACTGCTGTCTCTAGGGCAGGCTTCAGGGAGCCTTGTGGAGAAGTCCCTGGCTGGCTGAGTGCCAGTAGCTCCGGAGGGCAGCTCTGACCACTGTCTGTGGGTCCTTCCGCTCTGCGCCTTCAGGGCTGCCTGGTTGCCGTGGCGCTGACTGCTTCTTCCCCTGCCTTCCTAGAGCTGGAACACGGCCGGCATCGGAGAGACCCTGACGGAAGAGCTGCCCGCCTTCAGCCTCACCCCGCTTGAGTACATCAGCCATGTAAGTGCCTCTCCAGGCTATCCCCACTCTTCGGGCCTCACCTTGTCTTTCCCTTCTGGCCCCTTGAGGTGAGGTGGTCATCACCCCATCAGTGCTGACCAGACTCGCTTTTGGAGAGTCCGCACCCAGATCTCAGCACTGGGGCAAGTGCAGAAGGTTCAGACCCTGCGCTGCTCTCACCCTTCCCTGTCTCTCCCAGCGTGAGGCTGGCTAGTCCCTATGGGCGTGGGAGTCCAGTGTCCAGTAGGAAATCCTGACTTGGGAAATCAAGCAGCAGGTAGCCAGATTTTTCTCCATGGCTTTTCACAAGAGCAGCGTGTATGTGTCGAGTTCAGCAGACATTTAGTGAGCACCTACTGTGTTCCGGGCTCTGGGCTGATGCTTTCATGCTTAACCTCACAGCAGCCAAACAGACCTCTTCAGAAAAACTATTGTAGGGGCTTCATGTTAAAAGAGAGCAGAGTACACCTACCGGGAAGAGGGCCACCCTGGGGTGATGGGCCCCCAGGTGCTCTGCACATGGCCTTCCCTTCCTCCTTCCTGCAGTCCCCTTCATCTTGGTTTCTCTGAAGTGTGGTATGTGCAAAAAAGACTGTGCCGGAGTGGTGTGCCCCAGAGTACGCGTCTCTCACATTCTGTGAAGATTGTGGGTTTCTAGGTTATTTCTTCTGTATGCCCTTCCTTACCTGAGTCATGGCCATTGTAATAGATAGAGAACCTAGGGAGTAAATACTGTAGCTTTCTTAAAGGACGGGATGGGGGATAGGGACAGCTCCCGAGAGACAGGAGCGGTGCTGATGGGTTGCCCAACACTGTAGAGTTTGATGTGTGCGGCAGACCCGCTGGCCACTGCTGGGACGGGGCGTTCGGCTCTGCTCCTCTGGGACAGTGTGGGGTCCGCAGTGGCAGGCTCCTTCCTCCTGCTTTTCAGTGCACCTGTCTGATCTCTTGGACCAAAGGCCTGTAAGATAATCATAGTTTTAGAATCCAGACAATGTACCCTACAGGCTCAGTGCAGTCAGAAAATGATGTCTCTGGAAGGGACTCTGAGAGGTTACTGAATGGATGTTAAGGTTGAGGGAAGTAAAGCGCAGAGAAGTAAGGAGTCTCAGGGTCACGGCCTGTGTGGCCCGCTGTGACCTCCTGAGTTGTAGCTATTGTCTCTAGAGACTGCTGACCTGGGCCCGGGAAGGGACCGTGTGTCAGACTTGCACCGATCCCCTGCAGGCACAGTGGCATGAGCTTGCATTCAGTCATGCGTATCCCGTGGTGTCAGTCTCCCCCACACAGCAGCCCTAGCCCTTGATGAGTTCATCCTCATTTCAGATACCTGGGAAACAAGGTCCCAACAGAGTACAATACATGGCCCAGAGTAGCAGCGGCAGAGCCAGGACTTGGCCCAAGTCTGTCTAACCTAAAAGCTGTTCCTTTTTCTCAAGTTGTAGAGTTTACCCATACAGAGTGTTGGGGTGTCAGAATCATAGACAGCTATCTATAGGTGAGGCGATTAGCATCTTTTCCACATTGGTTTCCGACACGACTCCCAGCAAAGCCTGGAGTCATTCCCCACAGTCTAAGGCCAGTCTGTTCAAGGTTGAGATGTCGGGTTATCGGTGCTCTGTATCTAAGTGACCCTGGACCTAGTGGGTGACTGCTCAGCCCCCAGACTTGTGAGCATCATACAGGGTCAAGCATGAGAAAAGTTACAGACAGCCTGTGCACCAGGCACAGTATCGATGAAGCTTTATTTCAAGTAGAAACGGGTCGGTGGCATTAGCCAAAATCTGGTAGCTGCAGATGAAAGGTACCAGATACAGAAATAGCTAGGGCTTCTGCACGTAGTAGGTGCTCGGGAAGCACTTGCTGAATGGAGGTTCCAGCCCCAGAGAGCGGCACCCTTCCCTTCCTCCATACTCTGGGAAGGCGATGAACGTGGCCGTTTTCAGGTGAGGTACGCAGTGCTGGCTCTTAAAAGTGAAGTAAGTGGCCGCTTGCCTAATTTGGTTGAAGGGTTATACTAAGTGCATGAATGGAAGGGAAAAAAGGAAAAGGTGACTTTACCCCCCGCCCGCCGAAGCTCTCTGGGGGAGACCCAATTGAGACTTTCTTGTCAGCACTCTGGACCAGTGGCTGTTGTGGCTCACCATGGCCAGTCCATGGTAGATGTTTGGAGACACAGGCAGTACCCCACGCTCTCTGAGGGGGGTGTGTCTGCGTGTCTGTGTTCTGGACTTCGGGATGCCACACCCTGAGAGGAGCTTGTCACTTTGGGGGGGGGG